CATTGCAATCTTTGGTACGTCACAATTCAAGTGCACATTAGTCGATCTTTTTCTAACAGTTCTAGTCATTGGCTTCTTTATCATGATGGCTCTAGCAGCTTGGATCACCCGCAGTCTTCAACTAGCTCTTGGTGTCTCGAGGCGTTCAAGGTCCCAACGCGCTGAAGAACTCGGCCGCCAGACACCAGATCTCTCAACGGGAGATCCCAATTTTCCTGGTATATCGCGTCGCACGAGTGTATCCCGAGCTGGTTCCCAAATACCACTCATGTCTGTATCCGCGCCGAACTCGGAGCCAACGTCAGCGGCGCCTTCACGACCGCAGACTCCACCTCAGTTACGGCTTCAAGAGCATCACTATGCAAATGGTCAAGCCCCATTGAATGCTGTCGAAGCTCTCAATCCGACGACTGTTCTCACACAGATTCCTCTGCCACCGCCAAAGGCTGAGCTATGGGCGGCTCGTATATCCGCAAATCTCGATGTGGCCATCTTCGTAGGATTGTTTGCCATTATTGGCATTCCTCTCTATTACTCGACCGGCTATGCTATGCCACTTCACCTTGCTGTCAACGTCCTCGCCTGGTTCGGGGCATTGTCAGTTGCACCCAAATGGAAAGAATATCTCCATCCAGTCTTGGTATCGTCTCTCGCAACAGTCCTTGTCATATGGGCGCTTGCAGCAATTCGTGGTGATAGCTTGACCACAACACTCCACGCTTACCGCACAGGCGCAAAGTATATACAGCTATGGCGCAACGCAGCGTCGACGCAAGATCTTCTCCCCGGCGCCGGTGACGTTTTCGGCACTCTTCTCGACGCCAGCATTGTAGCTCTCGCCTTGCCCATGTTTCAATACCGGCGTGAGCTTCGCACTCATTTCATCTCCATCGTCATACCCAACGTTGCGATCAGTGTAGGTTCGCTGCTCGCATACCCGCCCTTGTGTTACGCCTGCGGCATCTCGGCAGCCCGCAGCCTCGCTTTTGCATCGCGCAGCCTGACGCTGGCGCTCGCCGTCCCCGCGACTGTGAACCTTGGAGGAGATGTTAACACTGCTGCTGCATTGGCAATCATCAGTGGCATTTTGGGCGCTGTGCTCGGGGCGCGCATATTGCGCTGGCTGCGAGTCCCCGAGGATGACTACGTGACCCGCGGGGTGACACTAGGTGTTAACTCGAGCGCCATCGCGACTTCAGTTTTGTTGCGAACGGACCCTCGAGCTGCAGCTTTGTCGAGCTTGTCGATGAGTCTTTTTGGAACTATCACTGTCTTGTTTACTTCAATACCGCCTGCGGCGGCATTTGTACGAGGGTTTGTAGGCCTGTGATCGGTCAACAGGAACTAAATCTATTGAGGCATCTCGCTAATCATAGTCAGCATTTAGAGGGAAAACTAAACACTTGAGCAATATAGAATAATAATTAAGGTTTATTTGCGATGATCTAGTGCTGAGTGTCATACAGACCCAGTGTCTAGATTTATATCAAGAAAGATAAGCACAAAGATTATACCATTCTAATCCGGCGGATATAATCCCTTGGTCAGGTATAGTACGATTTGAAACCTCGGTAATGTAGTTACATATGTAGCCTGCACTACTGTACTGGTCGCATTAGTTCGTTCGTTGTACACCGTCAGTTTACATAAGGTCTCATGACAGCGATAACTCCACACGACGCCCTGTCGCGTGGCACATGCAGCAGCATGCCGTTATCGTGAATTTGTTGAATAATAGTGATCATGGGTATAGTAGTAATGAGAATACAAAGACAGCCCAGCAATGAACGTCTGTTGCTGCCGTCAAACACAGAAAGTAACTCTTATGCTCCATCTAATTCGTGTACCAAACTGAAACTGAGCATTATGCCGTGAACGCCGCCGTAAATCGTAAGACCATGAGTCGTAAAGCGTGGAAATGTTATCGAACAGAAATAAACTAGTGGGCGGTATGGCCTCATTGTATGAGTTCCGGCTTTCGTACGGGTATAACCATCCCGTAAGAGCCGAGTTGCAGACAATGCCATTTTGCGCTTGATAGAGCCTGAATCCCTCTTGTTAAGTATGTCAGTACAGGGTTGTCTCTTCCCAGATAGTGTAAGCAGAGCTTATCATCCTATCTTACAGCAGGTAGGGTACCTTATAGATGACTTGGAGGGTTGAATAATGCCGCATTGGACCTCCAGTGCGTCACTTGCTGAAAGCCCGGTTTAGCCTCACGGTCATTTGGCTCCTCTGCTCTTTTGCATCGCTGCATACACCGCACTCGCCGCTGACTACGGTGCCAGTTACGCGTGAGACGTATTTACCGCAGACGGTGAGGCAGGGTGATGTTCCTACGGGTTGTTCGCCAACGCGGCGGCCGCAGGCTCGACAGATGAGAGTTCCGAGGTTGGCGTAGCACATTGTAGGATGAGTGATGAGTGAAAGTGAGAATGATTGAGTGTCTTATGAGAGAGTCAAAGTGAAGAGTGTTGAGACAGCACGAGTGAGACGGTATCAGAGACAAAGAGGCATGTAAATGTAGACGAGTAAAGATAGATGGAGTCTTAGATACAGAGATGGGTCCAACAAGAGAAGAAAGAGAAGAGAGATGCTGATTAAAGAGGAGTGTTGTCAAGGAGAAAGTCGAGGTCTACGGGGGATGAGTTATGTATTTGCAGAGAAGAAGGGAAGTTGATGTTGTTTTAATAGCGAGGGAAATAATGTAAGAGAGGAAGAAGAAGAAGAGGAGGCGAGACAAAGGAGGAAGAGTGAGGTAAGATAAGGCGAGTGCTACCTTGCTGGGTTATTTAACAGGTACTATACCTCAGATAGATTGGTAAATGCAATGCATTGCATTACCGTAGAGAGGGAGAGCGTGACACAAGCTGAGCTGTCGTGATGGGGACGTATCCATCCATACCATACAAGGTCCCTCCCTCACTTACTTACAGCTTGTTAGCTTCAACTTATTTCTACCTTGACCCATTTGACCGTTTGAAGAAGAGGGGTCACTGTCACTATCTGGGTCCAAGTGGGATCTGTTACATTAACTTGCTAGTATACCGCCTGTCCAATACGGTATATGAACCAGGTACCTGGTATTAGTCACTTGGTTAAACTTTACAAATAAGTACAGTACTTTAGTATCTCAAGATCTTAATCTGTATAAAGTGATAGGTATGCCGTGCCAAAGTTTGACCTTTCCCCTCACCGACTCGCCTCATCGAGTGGACAAGTTACGATACTTTGTCTTGTTGGAGGTACTGAAGGTACAGTAGTAGTGAAGATCCATGTCCCTGGCAGACCTTCTCGAAAAAAAGAACCCTCCATCCCGTGCGCCCTCTGGCAAAATTCCCCTAGTCGCAGTGAAGATCATTGCCCCCAATCACAAGCCAGAGATGCCCCCTGCCCCCTCTCACTACGTTGATCATGTCGCCCAATACGACATGACGGAGTGAGTAGGCTACGTAGTCCAACAAGAATACCTTGTGGAAAAGAATAGAATAGAATAGAGAAATAAAATAAGTTAATTAGGGTTCGCAAATACTTACAATAGTATTGTTATGCTCTGGTGCTCACTAAAAACAATTACACTTTCATGGTCATCTGTTTCAACTGTCACGGATCCTTCGGGGTTCAGACGCCAAACTACTAAACAGCTAGCTCATGACAAGGGTGTCCCTGACGACTCATATCTAAGTCCATCGGTAGTGTGTGTGTACCTACTGCACTGTATGTGTCCTGGTGGCTGAGTAGAGGCGAGGGGAGCACTACACCAACACGGTCATCCAAGAGTACGACAGAATGCATACAATCCTCAACTCTCATCATGATCATCAAACATCACTTCCATTATGCTAATGTCTGTCTCTGACAACTAACTCAAACAATCGCCATGCCTGACATCATGATATTCATCTACAACACCTTTTCCCATACAGATAAAGTAGAACAAAGGCCAATCACACAACTCTATCGTGCCAGAGTCCTGTCCATGAAAACGCCCGCATAATGTCACATCCATACATATTATGTTCGTTCGTTCATCCTCAGCTCCCAGTAAGACTAAAGCATCGACTGCATGTCGCCACGCTCCTCTTTTGTACAACCATCAACACATTCCAACACGCTTCCATTCACTTTCATGCATTTCCGTCGTATGTGCGTGCATCTCGTCATCCTAGTTTCCCCCGCAGGGCGTCCACCTCTCGTTGTAGGGCGTCCAGGTCAGCCAAGATGTCAACACTCTTCCCTGGCTCGTTTGCCGATTGCGGAGATGTGGGACCCGAGCCGACTGTCGCTGCGACATTGTCAGGTTCCTCCTCGGCCACTTGACTCGATCCAGCCTTCCCTACACCATCAAGACTCGTCCTCCGAGGTCCATCGACGCTGCCACGGCTGCTGCCTCGTTGCCGTCGAGGTGGTGGGGGTGGTGCCATCTGATTATGAGGTTTTGATTCAAACGATATTCGTCGGCTACTGCTATCAACACTTCTGATACTCGCAGGCCGTCGAACAGATGTGTTTCGCGCAGGTGGTGGTGGTGGAGCCCAAGATTTTGTCGTCGTCACAGGCTGATGTGTTCCTGATTGCGTATCTCTCGGTGGTGTTAACTCGACCGTGGAAGATTGACGCAGCTGTGATGGCGTGGAAGTGGTGCTCATATCGACATCCAGGGATGGAGCCGGAGATGATGACGATTGGCTCAGATCCGTGAGGCTTGAGGCCACCCCTGATGGTATCTGCGTCGACTGTCTTGAGGTGTGGTGAGATCTTGGTGGCGGTGGTGGAGGTGCTGCTGCATGTGAGTCACGTCGGTTGTGCTCAGGTCGGGATCTCATAGACGATGACCGTGACAAGTTCTCTTCATTGTACACGAATTGCTGCTGTGTCAAGCCTAGACCAGACGCATAGGCCTTGCTCTCTCCTCTCGCGTGACCTCGTCGAGGTGGTGGTGCAGGAACCGCTTTTCGGCCGCCGCCTGATGGTTCTGGCGATGCTAAACCCACATCGCCTTCAGCCTCTGGAATTTTGCCAGCTGCTTCGCGATCAAACGGCGACTCGCCTCCTTCTTCCATGCTTCTTCTCACCGGCGCGGGCGGAAGCGGTTTGTTCATATCTGATGACAGTGTCGCAAGAGGTTCTGGAGATGTCTGACCAACCAGATCCAGCTTGATGGACTTCCCATGTCGCGAGCTAGGTGGCGGCGGCGGTTTCTTGCTGTTCTTTGAGCTCAGCTGGGCAGAAGCGCTTGAGTCAGAAACGTTTTCTTGATCAATATCATCTTCCGGGGTATCCGAAGCTTCTTCAGAAATGAGAGATGCCTCTTGGAGTGCATTCTCGGGGGCCGATATATCTTTGGAATCGTCGTGTGAGATTCTTCGGAAAACAGACGGTCGGTCTTTTGTGTTTTTCGCTGGTGGTGGCATCGACTGTCGGATTTTCGGCGGCGAAGACTTGTCCGACTCCGTATTACCCGTCATCAGCAATCGCTTGAAAGAATTAACGTCCAGAGACCTTCTGGCCGTATTAGCAGCCTTGAGCGCATGGCCTTCTTCTTTGCGCTCCTGCTCAAGCTTTTGTTCTGCGACGGGCGAGTCAACGCTACGTAATGTCTTGCTGAACGGGTTTCCTATGCCCTGACCGCCATTCGGAGCATAGCCATGGGCAGCCGCAGCTACCATTTCGCGATCGCTATCGTCGGTAGAAGTCGCATCGAACGGATCGTCCTCATTCTGTTGGTTCGTAGTTTGTTGCGCAATAGAAGGTGCCGCGAATGCCCATTCGGGAGAGTCGGGAGACAGCGGCGGGGGTGATAGTACGCGGACGTTTTTGGTAATCTTAGATTTCGAGTCAATCGTCGACGAGCTAGCTTGCTGGAAGCTGGTCGGAGGCGGAGGAGTAGGTGCTGTTTCAATTTGATCGAGAGCAGGGAAACGAGAAGCGGCAGAGGATGTTGAGTTGGGAAAAGAAGCTGTGTCTACCGTAAAGGCAGCACTTTTGCGAAACGGATTAGACGATGCCATAGTGGCTAGATTCTCTGCGCGATCGGCTCAGGTGATCTTTTTGGCGTGTCTCGTCTCGTTCTGCTATAGTTCAAGCTTATCGTTTGCGTCACGAGGAGGATGGAGAGGTGATTCTGATGCGATAATAGGTCAAGGCGCATGCAAACAGAGACTGCCCGCCATCTTCGGCACAGCCGGGCAAGAGCTTGGGTAGGCGGCCAAGACGGGAAAACCGAGCGGAGGATGTTAGGCGTTAATGGAAGCGACAATAACAGCGCAGCGCAGATGAGACGGGACGAGACAGAACAACGCGAGAATAGATTTTGAGATCAGTCAAGGCACAGGTCTTGTAGGTAAGGTACCGTAGGTAGCCTTGTGAGGAAATGAGGTTCAGGCGTAGCACAGCGCAGGAAGTGGCCCCGGAACGATCGGTCAGGAGCTGCAAGGGGACGTCGCGGCAAGAATGCTAAGGCACACACAACCTGAACTGTTGCCTGTACCAAATAAGGTCTTGAGTCACTGGGAAAGGAAAAGAAATCTGGCGATGCCACTCAAGAGGCGTCCAAAGTGGGCTGAAGTCGTCAGCGCCTTCAGGGCTAATATCTTATCGCTAACGGTGCCTGGACCCAGCGCAGAATCGAGTCACTTTCAGGGGATGAACCGTCCGTGGCACGAAACGGAAGCTTACCTTAGGCTGGACAGGGGAGAGACAACGAACAGAGTCGACCGAAGAGAACGAAACAGAACGAACAGGCGATGATCATTGATCGGGCATGAAGAAGCACGGGCCAGCCGGGAGCTTACGAGGGGCAGAAATACCGCTGACGTTGGGCATTGTGGTCCCTACAAACAGGATACGTACTGTCATAGCTCTTCGCTCGGTAATCTGTACTGCAAGGAAGTACAGGTACGAGCGTTTGGTTAAGCTTCACGTTGGGACCTGAGACACGTGAGTTGTGACGACAGGTCGAGATCTACTGTAGCTGAAATGTCTCGTCTCACGCCCCGGACGATACGGTTTTGAATAGACGCCGAGATCCAATGTGTCTTCCTGACAATGTGCGAAGAGTACTGTAGGCTCTATATCTTGGCCAAATAGACCGTCAAATGAGCCACCTTATTGTCTGTAAAAAGCACTCTTTACCTAGACTTTTCTGAGTTATTCCTGTTCTCCTACTCAAGTCCTCAGCATGAGCTGGGCTTGAGGGGTGAGTTGTCTCTTTAGAGAGACACCACGGGTGCCAACTCAAAAGTTTCATGGTTCCACTTTTCTCGACTACAATTCCTCACCAGCAGGTCAGCGACACACTCAACCATGATATGGCGGCGAGTGCCAACACCTCAGCCAAGGCAAGATGACAACTATGACGAATGACTAGAAAGCTCCTGTCTCGAAGTAACAAGTCTATTGTGCCGAGTAAGACTTGGAATGTGCACTTACGCTTCAGAAACTACGAATACGAATATACCAAGACTCACTTACACGCAGAACATGGCTGACGCGTAAATGCTCGACACTTTCAGACCACCAACAGGCAACTATCGTATTAGATTGCGCTCATTTCCTACCCATCTAAAAAGTTAGACGCCCAAGGCCGCCTTTTCCTCCACGTAGTCTATTGTTTCGTTCGGCAGTCAGATGTTGGCGACCCACGCGAAACCCCCTGGCAAAGACTGAGTCGAGACACGCTTCACCTCAACCCACGTAAACAAGCCCTAAGACAGCGCGTCACATACACGCGACAGCTCATGCCTCACAGAATATTCGGAAATCATTAACTATCACGAAATGAAAAATGATTTCAAATATGTTCATTGCGTAGTTCAAATCGAATAACTCAAAACAGCGACAGTGGTATAATCGCAACCCTTCCTCGCCCACAACCGAGACTTTTGCCCTCTCCAAAAACACGCCGACTATCCTCTCCAGCATTGTTTCAAACCCTGACACGCCGTAAGAAAACTTTGTCATGTCGAATAAGATAAGAATACAAGGGACATAATCGCATAGAAATGGCCCTCACTTCTAGTGTACCACCTCCAAAATAATGAGATGGCTGAGGGTAGAATCATACAGACGCGAGTCTTCGCGTGCGCGTGTAAACAAACAGCCGATAATCCCGCGCTCCGAACCAAACCATCAAAATACCAGTAGCCGTACTTTCCGTGCCCTTGCCGTGAACAGATCCTTTAACGCCGTGGTCGTCATTAATTAAAGTTCAATACTGCTCAGCGTCATTTACGCCTTGGCAGCGGCCTTCTTGGGTGCTGCCTTCTTAGGTGCAGCAGCCTTCTTTGCAGGCGCTGCTTTGGTGGTCTTTGTGACGCGACCTGTCTTTGTCTTTGTAAGAGCGGTCTCGGGCTTCTCAGCCTTGTCGGCCTGGGTAGAATGTTAGAAAAGTGTGAGGAGTGACAGAGGATTACATACCTTCTTGGTAGCAGCAGCCTTCTTGGGAGCGGCGGCCTTCTTGGCGGGAGCGGGCTTCTCAGCCTTCTCGGCCTTTTCAGCCTTCTTCTCGGTGGTCTTCTTCTCAGCGGCGGCCTTCTTGGGAGCAGCAGCCTTCTTCTCGGTAGCAGCCTTCTTGGGGGCGGCGGTCTTCTTAGCAGCAGGCTTCTTGGCAGCAGGCTTCTCGGCGGCTTCCTTCTTCTCGGCGGCAGGCTTCTTAGGAGCAGCGGGCTTCTTAGTCTCAGGCTGCTTCTTGGCGAGCTTGGTACCACCGGAAGGACCCTTGGGCTGTTCGAAGACACCCTTATCGACACCAGCCTTCAAGGCCTTATTGAAAAGAGAGTCGAACATGTTGTCGGTGACATTGAGAGTGTTGTTGGCCTTGACATACTTCTTCAAGGATTGACGGCTGTGTGGCGAGTCAGCAACTGTTGGGAATAGAGGGAAGTGGAAAGCGACAACGTATGTGCGTTGTCGCGGCGATGATAAAAGAAAAGGGAAGCTTACCTAGAGCCCTTTCGGTCCTTGAGCTGTTGAATGCAAAGAAAGCACGTTAGTGAGTGAAAATGAATGAAAGAAAATGAGCAAGGCAAAGTGGTCGGCCGGGCGCGTGGCGATAGCCTCATCCGCGACCGAAGACTGAGTGCGCGACGGTGGACGCGACATGGACGGGGAACTTTCAGAATTCACATACGTTGACAATGGCATCAGTGATCATGTCCTGAAATAAAACGTTAACAATCGATTCGGATGAATCATCTTGAGAATAAATGAACTCACCTGATAGCTGGCATGGCCAGACTTCTTGGGAGCGGCGGCAGCGGCTTTGGGAGGCATTGTGTTGGGTTGTGTGGGTTGAGATGCTTTGAATAAAGACGAGTAGTTGAGATGATAAATGAGACGCGACAAAGACGTTTAGAGACGATTGAAAGCTTCGGAAGACGTTTAAGAGACTGAAGAGCAAACGACGAGTAGAACTATCTCGTCGGGCGCGTGGAGGGGACGGGGCATGTTTATATATTAGGCGGGGGCAGAGCGCAATCACTCTCCTCCCCAAGCTCCTGCTCCTGCTCTGCTCTCCTCTTACATCTTCGCGACTCTCCCGTCTTGCTCACCTGCCATAGGCCCACTTGCCCCGATTGGGAGGAGGGGCATTTTTAAAGCGCCACACCAAAAATGCGCATACACTCTTAGCTAGCACCCGCTGGCATGCTGTTGCACAAAAGAGTGCACAAGGGCGACAAGATCTTCATAACGCACGTGAACTATCTTATCGTGTTCTTGGATTGGCCACAGCTTTCTGCATAACTCACAAATCTCTTGCACTATTTCAGTCCAGCCACATCCAGCTCATCAAAGTTAGAGAGATGCCAAGCCTGGACCCTCCAAGATATGGCATTTGAGGAAAATGGGGCACCAAAAAATCCTGGGCAAGTGACCATTTTTCTGATTGGCCAGTCCAGACATCACCTCGGGTGAGGTGTACCTCTGTGTGATCTAGAGTCTGGCAAAATGCGAGCGCAACTCATGCCCCCGAGCATCCATTTCCCTCGATTCTCTCGCTTCTTCGACGACCGTCCTCCAAGAGATGAATGACTCGATTTCTTTGTCTTCTTGCGAGTCTCGGGCAATCTTTTGCGTTCCAAATGAGGTGGAGGATTCGTTGACTTGTTGCGACTGATATATGAGGCTTCCCTCGCGCTCGAGAGCCGTTGACAGGCGATTGAATGAGCCATGCTCGTTGTCGCATTCCGAATTACCACTGATACAGTAATGAATATGCTCCTGTGAAGCTTTTCAATGCCTTTTTAAGAAACAGCGACCATGATAGTGTAATTTCTACGTTGTTCCGGCTCGATTCAATGAACATATAATCCATATCGCTCAAAGTCACTCGCAAGTCCATTTCTCGACATCGCGCGTCGTTTCTGAAGCTATCCGCATCCCACCACTGTCTAATCGTTAAACCACCACACACCACAACACAAGCCAATTTTGCATCACTTAGTTTTCGGAAAGTATCGAGATGTAACTTAAGTACATTTTTACTTTTTTTTCGTTGAACAAAACATCACCATCGGCTCTTGAGAGGGCGAAGATGTTGCATCACGACTTACACGGTCGGAGGCGTCAAAGAATCAACGCCAGATGGTGAGTTATTCTACGATTCACATCTACACATCTCGTGATCTTGTATTCAGGTACTTTTTAAGATTTCTTCTCCCTCGCTTCCATACATATGATGAATATTACTTCTTCGTATATGATTAACTAGCACTTATGGTAAACTACTTAATGTACGTAGGTCATTTAAATGGCCAAGCAGCTGCTGAGACACAGATCTGACTTGGGGCACTTGCAATTCCTCACCTTTTTAACCGGGCTTTGACTTTCTTATAGCACTTCAAAGGGGAGCAGGTTAGCATCCTGTAGCCTCATCATAGTAATATTTCAAACCACTTCGAAGCTTCATATTGCGCTCCATCTTTGCAATTGACGGACGCCTTACGTCAAGTGAGGGGCAGGACGTGGCATCATGAGAGCTTGCGCCCAACTCAACAGCCTTATCATCTGTGTACTAAATCACACGAAATTTACAACATGGTTGAGAAATAAATAGCTATTTTAAGATGCAAGTTTTTTACCTTGGCTTGGAAATTGTACAATATTTTTGGTCGCCGCTACATGATGAGGACATAATCATCCACCCGTAATCGTGGGCTCTTTAGGCACAGTCTGGCCTGTTTTCCCAAAGCAGCACCATTAACTCGATTACGAGGTTGTGTTATCAAGTCTGACTGTGGGCTTCTCCTTGGGTTGCAGTAAGACGTCGTTCATATGTAGCAAGGAGCTTATCTTTATTTCCAGTGATAAAGCTCATCAGTAAATGTCGACATCACAATAACATCACTGCCAGTAGAGCAACCGACACAACATGTATAAAAACAATTAGGATCATAAAAATGATATTCAGAAGTATCTCATTTACCATAGAAAGCAAGGCCATTCTCTAATGGTCTTAAGAGCACACAGGAAGACGTTATCATAACGCAAAAGTCAATGGCTCTACAGCTGTAGGTTAGCATCAGCACATTGGGCGGGCTCCCAAGTTGAGGATGACACATGACTTGAATACTCTTCATAACGTTTGGGAGCCTCCGACAAGTATCCGAACACAATATAATTTACCCAACCGTTGACGGAGATCTATGGCATCATATCGTTGGCTATCCGCATCATTACTTGCACTTATCAATTGATGGTGAAGCATCACATGACCCGTCTTATAGATCACAGTCCATATGTACAGTGTATCTTCAAATTTATACTTCAAGCCTTGCCAATCAGAGTAAGGTGGGACACGGAACACGATCGCCCAGAATGTCCAACCGGAAGGTACACCCAGAAAAGGCCAGCGAGGCAGGACACCTATCATTATAGATAGCATCTCGATTCTGCTCCTGGAATCTTCGGTGAAGAAAAGAAGTTATTCAGCTTGGGCGCGAACTTGGGAGACCATGTTCGTGATTTTCTGCATATAATTTCTTTCTGGAATTCTCTTGTCCCGTGTTATTGAAGCTTGAGCTACCGCCACCCATCATCCTACAGCACATTTCCTTGCCCCACGTCTCCTTTACTGGGCGCACGCTCGTCCGATAGATTGATACTCGTCCTCGATACTTTCGTCCCTTTCGCTTCTCGAGCTTCAACGTCGTAATGGCCGACTACGCTCAGTACCACGCTCTCGGCCAGGGCGAGGTTATTGACCCCAATGACCCTAACCGAACATCTCAACCCGCTGCGCAACAGTTCCAACCGCCAATCGCTCCCTCACCCTACCAACAACAAGCATCACCATATGGAGCACCCCAATATCTTGGAGGCCAGCAGGCGCCTCCTCCTATGACTGGCTCTCCCGCACCAGCTCCCGGATATGGTTATGCACCTCCTCAGGCTCAGGGACATCCAGGTCAAGCTCCACCGTCACAAGATGCTACGCTAGCTACTCAATTCGGTGGAATGAACTTGGGAGATGGACACGGCACAGCGAGAAGGAAGAAGAAGGACCGTCACGCATACCATACCGTTGAACCTACCGGCTCCTCACAAGCCTTCAATGGCATGCCTCCCCAGGGAACCTCGGCTACACAGTTTCTCGACAGCGTCCCTGGCGGTCCCGGGTTTGGAGGTCAATTTGGAAGCCCCCAGGGAACCCCTCAGATGCAAAGCCAGAGCCAGTTTGGTGCGCCGGTTAACCCAGCATTTGGTCCTGGTCCTGTTGCTGGAACACCCGGTGTCGGTGAGGGCCTCGATACAGCCTCAGTGTCTACCAGCGGACCCAAGGGAGTGTCACCTGACGACATGCCCAGCGTACCGGCCTCGCGAGATGCTATCCAGCAGTACTACCTCAAGAACGTATATCCCACCTTCGAACGACATGTCCCTCCTCCCTCGACAGTTTCGTTTGTTGCATACGATCAGGGCAACTCATCACCGAAATACACTCGGCTCACACTCAACAACATCCCCACTACTCAGGACGCTCTGCAGGCTACAGGTCTTTCTCTTGGACTCTTACTGCAGCCGCTAGCTCCTCTGCAGGCCGGAGAAACCGAAATTCCTGTCCTCGACTTCGGTGAAGCTGGACCCCCACGATGCAGACGATGCCGAGCTTATATGAACCCCTTTATGATGTTCCGTTCAGGTGGGAATAAGTTTGTCTGCAACCTTTGCGCATACCCCAATGAGACTCCTACCGAATATTTCTCTGCGACCAATCCACAAGGTGTCCGAGTTGATCGTGACACTCGGCCTGAGCTTCACCGAGGAACTGTAGAGTTTGTGGTGCCTAAAGAGTACTGGACCAGGGAGCCGGTGGGGTTGCGATGGTTGTTCCTTATCGATGTGACCCAAGAATCTTACAACAAGGGTTATGTCGAGGCTTTCTGTGAGGGTATCCGTGTTGCTCTATATGGTGGTGAAGATCAAGAGTTGGATGAGAATGGAGAGCCGAAACGTAGAATACCAGAAGGCGCCAAGGTTGGATTTGTCACGTACGACAAGGACATTCACTTTTACAACGTTAACGTGAGTTGAACGGTATCCTTGTATTGCCAGTTTCACTAACAGTGCACAGCCTGCCCTGGATCAAGCTCAGATGATGATCATGCCTGATCTTGAGGATCCCTTCGTACCCCTGAGCGAGGGACTCTTTGTCGACCCATATGAATCTAAGGATGTGATTACATCTCTGCTTACTAGGCTTCCGGATATGTTCTCTACCATCAAAAACCCCGAGCCCGCCCTTCTCGCCGCCCTGAACTCAGCACTTGCCGCGCTCGAGGCGACAGGAGGTAAGGTTGTGGCATCTTGCTCTGCGCTACCAACCTGGGGCCCTGGTCGTCTCTTCATGCGTGACAATGGTAATCACCCTGGAGGTGAAATTGATAAGAAGCTCTACACAACTGAGCACCCGGCTTGGAAGAAGGTTGCTGAGAAGATGGCTGCTTCCGGTGTTGGTGCTGATTTCTTCCTTGCCGCTCCTTCCGGTGGCTATCTTGATATTGCGACTATTGGTAAGCTCAGTCTTAAGTAGTATCATGAAACCTATACTAAATGCCTTCTTCCTAGGTCATGTTTCTTCAACAACTGGCGGAGAAACGTTCTACTACCCTAACTTCATCGCTGCGAGGGACAGCCGAAAGCTGTCACTCGAGATCTCACACGCTGTGACTAGAGAGACTGGCTTCCAAGCTCTTATGAAGGTTCGATGCTCTAACGGTCTTCAAGTCTCCGGCTACCATGGCAACTTTATTCAACACACCTTTGGTGCTGACTTGGAAATTGGCGTTATTGATGCTGATAAGGCAATGGGTGTCAGCTTCAGCTACGATGGCAAACTGGATCCTAAGCTTGATGCTCATTTCCAGTCTGCTCTTCTTTATACCACGGCTTCAGGTCAACGCCGCGTGCGATGTTCAAATGTTATTGCTAGCGTTACAGAAACCTCTAAGGAATCGGGTGCGCGCGAACAAGGTATCCGTGAGTGTCTCAAGTTTGTTGACCAAGACGCCGTCATTGGTATGCTGGCCAAGGAAGCTAGCACGAAGTTGGCGACTACATCAAGTAACCTCAAGGATATCCGCCACTGGCTGAGTGAGAAGGCTATTGACGTTCTTGCTTGCTATCGAAAGCATGCCGCTCAACAGCATCCTCCAGGACAGCTTGTCATGCCTGAGCGATTGAAGGAGTACTGTATGTACCTCCTCGGTCTCCTCAAGTGCCGAGCACTCAAGGGTGGTGTCGAGAACTCAGACCGCAGAGTCCATGAGATGAGAATGCTTCGTTCTATGGGCGCTCTCGAGCTGAGCTTGTATCTTTACCCCCGAATGATTCCTGTTCACAACCTGGCACCTGAAGAGGGCTTCGCCGACCCCGAGACAGGTCATCTAAAGATGCCACCTGCGATCCGCACATCATTCTCACGAGTTGAACCTGGTGGTGTGTACCTGGTTGACAATGGCCAACAGTGCCTCCTTTGGTTCCACTCACAGACTTCTCCTAACCTTATTTCTGATCTGTTTGGTGAAGACAAGGATTCTCTGAAGAGCCTTGACCCTTACACATCGGCCCTACCACTACTTGAGACTCACCTCAACGCTCAAGTCCGCAACATTATCGAGTTCCTCCGAACGATGCGCGGTTCAAAGGGCCTCACGATCCAGCTCGCCCGACAAGGCATTGATGGCGCCGAGTTTGACTTTGCTCGTATGCTCGTGGAAGACCGTAACAATGAGGCTCAGAGTTACGTGGATTGGCTGGTACACATCCACAAGGGTGTTCAGTTAGAGGTAAGTTCTTTCTAATCATGGCTTATTAACAGAAAGATCTAACAAGCATTTCAGTTGAGCGGACAACGTAAGAAGGAGTCCGGTGAGGAGCACACGGCAGCAAGCTTGTCAAACTTTGCAGGTTTAAGACCAGCTTATTGGTAGTTGAAAAAGTCCAGCAGCTTAATAGAATCGGATCTTGGTAACAGCGGTCGTTTATCTTATGGAGTAATGTAACAGAAACAAAAACTTTGGTGGGAGAGACAGGAGGAGAGAAGAGATGATAATTCGTTAACAGGTAGCGGGTAGCACGAATATACCGACACATTATCGTCGAGTCCATCTCAGTCTCGTCATTGACACTGTCCTTTCTGTCTGTTGTTGCACGATATATGTGTCTATCCGTAACATGGGAGACACTCAGGTATACAACTTACACCGCAACATTACATTCATGCTTGTTTCTTATCTCGCAAAGACAACAAGGCTGGCTGTGTTTCTCCCTTGCAGAAAAGAGCTCTGTTGTCATCTCGCCAATCTCTTTTTCAGGCGGTCAGTCAGATTTTTGTGTTACTGCATCTCGCCTCTTTGCATGACTCTCCTCTGCATGACTCCTCTGAAACAAAACTCTCCCCACTTCACAGTTTCCCCTTTATTATTACCACAGTCCTTTCTTCCTTCCTCTGTATGTCCCCTTCACCGTTCTTTGCGCCTCGTGGGAAAGGGTCTGCGATGTAACGAGATGCTGATGTCGTGTAATGGTGTCGCAATCGAGATTTGTGCAACAATCTGAGAGAGGGAGCAACGTTTATTTGACAAAGTTTTGGATACAAGATTTGAAGAGGCGGTGGAGAAGGGAACACAGAGATTGCGGTGCATAAAGCTGTAGACTGTTACAAGCCCATGGGGAAAGCATAGGGCGCTGTACATGTTTGTATGTAACTCGAAACCCTTGCTTGCGATGTCTCGTCTTATTCATCAGATAGGTTTTCTGTGGGATATGATCTGCCGCTAGTAAAGCAACCCATGATCGTCGACGTGCATTTGCGTCTGCATCTGCTGTAGTTGTCCAGGTTGAGTGTAGTCTTCTTTTCCCCTGCGGCCATCCGCGGCTAAAGACCCGCCTGTCGTTACACACGAGGCTGTACTTCAAGCGCTGTATGACGTACGTATATATCCTTGATTGATGAGCAGTCGTGAGTTGACTCAGGGGGGTGCTTTATCTTGCATTGGTAGTTTGGTGATCGGGTTGAAGATCACTGCTAAATCCTCGATTACCCCTTCAGAAGGTATCTTCCTGACATCGGTAGTCAGCCTCATATGATTCATGACTAGTTATGACCTATCCAGTTGAGTCGTATGTTCGAAAGTCATCAAATCTTATAAAGCCACGTCAGATAAGCAATGTACATCTATCTCTATTACAAATGAGTTTTTGCCTGACATAGCATCCCAGGGCACTTAGGAGAAGCAAGTCCGAACAAGTCTAAACTTAATACTCAGCATACTCAGCCCTGGCAGTTGTTTCGTTAGAAAAGTATGTATCAATCCTCCGGCAGCTTCGGGGGTACCCGCATGCACGTTGTGACTACAGTGCAAGCCAGGGTTCAACTGCGTTCAAAGAGAGCTGATAGGTGGGTCATAATCATATCAGACAAATAGTCTTGCGTATATCACCTTGTTTAGTTGAAACGGAAGGGATTCAGCAAGGGAATGTTTCTTCCAATGAACCCTGGTATTCAGATAACGCCTCGGAATTGCTGTCCTTGTTTCTCAGTGCTTGAGGACCGATGGGATGCTCCTCAAGGGTGACCATAGACTATTTGTCACATCTCAGCCTGACTGGGGTCTCGGCCGAGTTCACTCCCACGTCAAATCCTCGAGCAACATTGGAGATCGAGGCTGTGAAAGAGCATGCAGTGTTTCCGTGTGCGACATGACATAGCAACAAGATTCCTTAAACAGCTGAGCTAAATATATATGTGACACACCCAACGCCGATACCATCATTTGTTCGTCGTGATACAGGAGTCTGACAGGGCCACTTGTAGATCGGGAATCAATAAGGCGCCCAACTCAAACCCCAAACACCAAGAAAAAGAAATTCCTTGTCAACTGACCCCAACCAATAATAGCAAGAAGAACCAACATAACTCCCATAACACTGGGTTTATCCTGACCTCGTCCGGTCTGTGTCCCATAGATTCCTCATCCATTGCATTGCCTCATAATTGACCTTGGATGATTGGTTGCAGAGGTTGGTATCATAAATTGTCCTGAGCGCTCGCTGACTTTTCGTCGTTCCTCGGTTGACCGCCAGAATGCGGGAAAGTGCAGTTGAAATAAAAAGAAACGTTTCGCAAGGGTCCCGCCAGGTCGGTCGGCCTCAAAAAATGACTAACTCTTAGAGTCATCATAGGCTCATCTTCCTGAGACAAGTTTTTTCTTTGTCGACAGACCCGACTCAAGATGTCCGCTGACAGGGCTCTCGGGTTGGCAAGCCGTGTTCTGGAATCTGTCTCAGATTGATACAAACTAAATCATGTTGTAATCATGTTAAGTCCGTATCGTGGGTCAGGCTGTCGCAGAACTCGGTCAACCTCACTCGCACTAAAGACATGCTCGAAAATTTCGCGATCAGTAGGAGCGCTACTGTGGCTTTTGTTTGATCCAGACGAGCTTGAGGATCCAGTCCTAGATTTGCCCTTGTTCTCCTTCTTGGTAATCTCGTCCATGATGTGGCGCATTGTGCTTTGGAGGGGGTCTTCAAAGACAAAGACAACGTATGCAAACTGTCCCCGAAGATCTGGGTCAAAAAGCAAGACGTCCCGCCAGAGCTCTGCCAACTCTTGAGGAGGATTGCGGTAACCATTGCCCAAGCCAAAGTCCCCGATGACAACACGGTCATATCCGTTGTAAAGACAGATACGGAGAGCTCCGCGAAGCTTATCGCGGGTCATCTCACGTTCCTCTGCAAAAGAGTACTTGAGTCCGGTGTCTTTGAGTTTGGGCCATCGGGTTGGTGGTACCGACACGACGGGTAGGTCAAACCAGCTCTCCAGCCTGTCGTAGCGGTCATGTGGTCCACGGCAAACCACAACAGCATCAGATAAGATACCACCCTGTGATGGGATCGGGTAGTTGTTGGGTTCCGGCGAGTTCGGCCATGGCGTGTTCAATGTGGCTGAGAGGTTACTTCGTCGGCATAGCTTCTCCTCATATCCGACGCATCCAGTTTCCCAATCACCTCCGGGCCTCCGTTCATTCGCAGCGCATATGAACGGAATTCGCACACGAGGACCTCCCATAGCCTCGCTTTGTTGTGTGTCCATGGCTGCATAGGTCAATGCCTTCATGACTGGGTCTCCAACTTCGATTCTGAAGGAGGGTGGCCGAGTCGTAGGCTTCTGACGCTGGATAGCGAGTTGCGTGATGGGCTGTCGATAGAGGTAGGAGTATGGCGGGAAAACTTCGCCATAGTTCTTTTTAACAAGTGGAATGAAATTTCTCTTGGTATCAGCTGCGACCTCTGAAGGCCGCACCCGGCTGGATCTTGGAGGAGCCATGATGAAGGGATTGGATATGAGCAAGCGGTATGAACTTATACTGCTTTAAACAGGTTCGTAGTCAAGACGCTATCAAGCCAATGACGACAATAGTGAGAGAATAAGTGCCAAGTTTGAGATGCTTAGCTTGGTGAGGAGGAGTAGTGAAAGTGAGTGGCAATGGTTTGATGAGGACAGAAGGGCTGGGAATAAGGACTACGATGAAGGGCAGCAAGGTCTTATATGGACACTCGGCCGTGAGTCTGAAGAAACAACACGGTGGAGGAATCTGTCACCGGACATGATCCAAGGACTCACATTCTGGTAGACTGGCTTCTCCGGGACAAGCGAGAAGGAGGGATGGGCACTGGGCTGTGTGACCCAGCATACTCAAGATCTGAACCACTTGTTTAGAACAGACTCGGCCTGAGGCGAGGCAACAAGCCAAAGAATGAGCAGAAGAAAAACAGACCAGCATCACTTTATGGGTACGGCAAGACTTAGGTGCTAAAAACGGGGACCTTTCGCTTGACGACATGTCCTAGCATGCATATAGGTCTTGTACTGACAAGTTTAGGATGTACGAGCTGCAAATGGTACAGGGCAGCTCGAAAAAGCAAATGCAGGGCCTGACGAATCAAGACAAGCCATAGGAAGGGACAAGAAAAGGGCCCATCAGAAGACTCAGGGACTGGGAACCACGTATCGTAGTCGGCCGGGGATCTGTGCCGTACCAGATCGCAGCCCACCATCACAGGCGTACAGTGCAGTAGGGGCACCGACATCCAAGTTGACGGAACCAGGGTGGGCTACACTGAGCCTCCAATGTCGGGAACCGTGGAGCATCTGCAAGATCTCACGGGGACACAGGCGCCGCCGCCATCTCAAGACGGAGGTAGCAACCACGCTGGTTGGGCTGTTTGACGACAAGGACCATAGAGAAGGATGATCTTTATCGGCGAGCCTGAGACACAACTGGCCGGGACATTGTTGCGAATCAAGATCTGTGGCACCCTTTCATCTCGCCTGGTGGAAGCTTGTGTCTAAGCGGATACCCAGGGCGGCGGACCAAAACCAACTTGTGAGAGAAAGAGACAAGAAAAGAGGGTGAAGTATGGATGTGACTGTGATTGCGGGGTGATTTGTGACGAGGAGGCTCAGCTACGCTATGGGGGCCCGAGAAAATGGAAGAGAGAAGAAAAGGTACGGAGTAGTATTAGCATGGGTATTGGAGAAGTGACTGACGGCATCGACAAGGTCGATTCATGCATTCATTGATCATGGGCGAGCGGATATGGTATCCCAGCTAGCCTCATCAAGTACAGTACATACAGCTACAGCCAGTTCTGTACGATAGGGATTCCCACATGCTGGGGCTGGCTGGGACGGAAACTGTGCAGAGTGCGCAATCGATCGGTTCAAGATGTGAGACATGGAAAACCGCATAAAACCCAGTCACGATGCCTGGGCTGAGACAGGGTTGGTACCGGGGCAAGATGCTACTGTATGCTACCTATAGTGCGGGAGGTTGCGGTGTGGGCTGCTTGCTTTTTCTTGGACCGAATGATGTCGGGATCTGTCTCTTCTTTTGGTGTGAGGAAATCGGTGAGTTCGCATTTTGGCTTCGAACTAGTCGCGAGAAACACGCTTGTTTCGATTGGGTGGGTTGGTGTCTTGTCTCGCTGTGTCTCGTGAGAAGCACGGTTGTAGAGGGTGAGTGGATGCAATATCTGATTGGAGTGTTGACGAGATCATGGTCACTGACGTTTGTTTGATACTATATCCTGATTGCAGGCGGTGATGGACCGTGGGCTGAGATCTCAAAGTGGGTGCATAGTGCATTGTAATCGAGGTTGTTGAGGTGAAAGAGAAGAGAGAACATGTCTTGAACTGGAGATGAAACTATAGTAAGGTATCCCTGAAACCAATGTGGAAAGAAAGGGGCTCTGTCTGATATCTGATATCCATCCCTTCCATGTCCCTTGTCCCTTCCTTTTCCATTCCAGCTGAGAATCTATTTTTGCCTTCCCCAGTTGGCAATTGCTTTGTCGATGTGACGAAATGAGGTAGCTCTAGCTTAATTAGCTTCAAGCAAGGAAAGCGCGTCCCAGTAGACTGGCTCGGGTCGTGCACCTGCACCTGCACCTGCCTGAACAACGATACGCACACCAGGGACTAGCCTAGCGACCCAGCAATTTGGTGAGTGTGTGTGCGTGCGTGCGTGAGGTACCGTCTCGTTGGTAATAAATGATAACTAAACCACCAAACAAACAAACAACCCTAACCTAATCTAAACCAAAGAACCTCGACGCACGCACCAATCGCTAGAGCTACAGAGCTCCGAGGTACCTCCTACGTAAGGTGCCTATCGAAGGCGCCTCAACTTTGCAGCCAGCCACTCTAAGTTGGTCAGCATGACATTGACACCTCTACGGGACATTCCCCGATCTCAGCTCGAGCTCGTCCCAGCAAAATGAAGATCCGATGCGGTACATCTCTTTTAGGGGCCCAGCACTTGACCAGAACGGGAGTCCAAATTCGAGCCGGCCATTCTCATTGGATTTTGCTTTCGTATTCAATCCATAGTGCCTGACGGCAAGGCGATTAGGTTACCCTAGATCAGCCCATGATATTTCCAAAATTTCTCCACAGCCAACGATTCTTCCATCGAAACCTGGTATCCCTTGCGTTAGACTCCACGACACTACTTCAGCCCATCTACCTCACCGACAAAAAGCGTAATTATTTCTCTATCATTACGCGCATGTTTCCGATTTGAGGCGGACCTGATTCCCAACATAGCAAATTTGGGCTCGATGATTAGGTATTGAAAATAGGCACTTCCAGAATTAGCTTCTGTTGCGTATATCTTCGAACAGCCAACTGACTCATCATCTCTCACAATGAGATCGTTTCGTGCATCGAGAGTGCCAAAATTGGGAAGATCATGGCCCCAAAGAAGACCGTATGCGGTCAAGGTCCCTGGCGAGTGCCAGAAAGATATCAAAACTGTGGCTGAGCTTAAAACTTGGGGCCCATCATCTCATGTGCCTAATGTCGAGGTTTGCGGATGGGTCAGATCAGTGCGGAAGAGCTCAGGGGTACGCTTCATCGATATCACCGATGGATCGTCTATGCGACCTGTTCAGGTGGTCGTGGACAAGAACCTAGCGACAGAGTATGTAGGCCTTGAATCACACATATTGACACCCGACCGACTGACTTGTCTACAGTATGCGTCCAGGCGCAGCTGTCCGCCTAAAAGGCACATGGGTTGATGAGAGCAAAAAACAATCTGGCATTGATGTGACATCTCAGGCTTCGAGCGAGGGCGAGACATCAACAGGCTCAGAACAGCCTGAGCTCAAAGTCTCAGAGGTGGAGGTTCTTGGAGGCTCTGATCCTATGGTATGTCTATCAAGAGCATCAGAATACCTCGGATTAGGTCTATTCTCACACATATCTAGACATACCCGATCCAGAACAAATATCAGACCCCTGAAAGTCTTCGCACTATCTCACATCTGCGGCCAAGAACGCCTCTGAACTCGACCATGCTACGGCTTCGATCAGATGCCACCGCCATGCTCACACAGTTCTTCTTCCGTGAGCGATTTCAGCAAACGCACCCCCCTATCATTACTTCCTCTGATTGTGAGGGTGCTGGAGAAGCGTTTGCTGTTAAAGCATCTTCTCCTGGTGAGTTCTTCCGTGATCCCAAGTATCTGACTGTGTCTTCTCAACTCCATCTTGAGGCTCTCGCTCAAGCACTCGGTAACGTCTGGACCTTATCTCCAACATTCCGTGCTGAGCAGAGCGATACATCAAGACATCTCAGCGAGTTCTACATGCTCGAGGCCGAGATGAGTTTCGTTCATGATATGGAGGAAGTCATGAATCTAGCACAGCGCATGCTGAACTCAATGGCCAGCGGGTTGAAGGAGCTCAATGCTGCCAAAGAGCTTGAACAGAACCGATTTGACTCGAAGGAACCTTCGGAGCGTCTTGCATTCAACGACTTGGTTGACCAGGAACAACTGGATCGTCGATGGCGAGGCATGCTCATCACCAAGACGTGGCCTCGAATTACGTACAGTGAGGCCATTGAGATTCTCAAGCCTATTGCTGACCAATTTGAGCACAAGCCAACATGGGGGTCTGGTCTACAATCGGAACATGAGAAGTACCTTGCTGAGAAGATCGGTTATGACGAGGCCACGGATGCATACGTTCCAATCTTCATAACACAGTATCCACGGGATATCAAGGCATTCTACATGCGCCAGTCATCCTCATCCCCGGCCTCTGGTCTGACAGTGGATTGCTTTGACCTCTTGGTTCCTCATCTGGGTGAACTTGCTGGAGGCTCTATGCGTGAGCACCGTCTGCCTCAACTCGAGGAGAACATGCGGGCCCTTGGTCTAGAAGTTCCTAGCAAGCGTTCCGACAAGGGCAAGGAGCTGGCCTGGTATCTCGACCTGCGTCGCTGGGGCTGCCCCCCTCACGGTGGCTTCGGACTTGGTTTCGACCGACTTCTGAGCTACCTCACTGGCGTGCCCAACGTCCGTGATGTCGTCCCCTTCCCACGCCACTACCATCGATGCGACTGCTAAGCGCTAATTCGGACTGGCACATCTCCTCTCATTTTTCATTGCATCGGCCGCCCAAAGGTGGCCTTCACTGTCTCCACGCCCAACGGGACATTCTCGTTAATGCCTGCCTACCTGGGATAACCCTCCGCCCTGAGCGATGCGTTCATTTCAGCGAGCAATCTGATACTATGTCTTTTTTGCCGTGACACGTTGCGCACATCAAGGCAAGCGACACTTGTGTATCCCATCAGGGCAAACGGCCGCGAGATATGCACCGTCTCCTCTTTCCCGTGGAAACATGCATGGACTGCGAGTACTGTGTGACACAGCGATGGGCTCTCAAGGTACCTCAACCGTGTGAACTGGATGCGGTGAAGAAGAGCTCCTGAGTTGACTCGGATGAGTGCATGCAGTGTTTGCACGATCTAGGTTTGCTGCGCGTTGCCGACGGGGAGAGCGCTGGATCTTCCGATGGCGAGGATCAGGGCGAGGGTGGGATCTGATTGGGATCGAGACAAGGAGCTGGGGTCTTTCGGATCTTTGATTCGTGTTTATATCGTTGTATCTAGGAGACTGTGTATTACTTCTGTACATTATAGATCACCTCTGTGATGGATTGGTCACGACATGATAAACCAAAACTTAAGGAAAATTACCATCCTTTTTGCTTCTGCTTGAGCTAAAGTTGTTGTGAATACATGCGATGAAGGCATGCTTGCGTATACTAGGTACTCTTCCGTTGTTGTCTTTCGGGTTCTCTGTGGTCGTGGAACTGTTGACGGAAGTGATGTGACCAATGCTACGTTAATTTCACCTGCTTGTAACGTCTGATAGTCTTTGTAGCCCGTGGCAGCTTACTTTTCATTCTTGGAGGAACTTCCCTAGTGTCGCTCTTGGCAGGTCTAGATACAATTGTTGCCTTGTATGCGCCGTGGCATTGTGCTCAAAGGACACGATATACCAAGAGACTACATCCAACTCATCGATACCGTAAGTTTGTAGTGAATCTTGGCTCTTGTTAAGAACGGCCAATGTCTACTGTTCCATGCGATACACACTATTAGTCTCGTAGGTGGTCACGATACCTTCCGGCACATGGTTCGACTTGGGTTCGAGAACACTTGGCTCGTGAATAACATGCTTCCTGGATGTAAAAGTGCGAATGCTATATCATATCTATGACGATAAGATTGTTTTGATCCGTTTAATCTTATGGTAATGAAGAGAATTCAGAGAGTTCTCCTCGTCAAGACGAGATTGGAGGAAGAGCTCGAACATCAAGAGACACTCCCCGTAATTGTTTAAGTATCTACTGTGGGTGTAAGTGAACAGTAGAACAGTTTTACTTCAATACAAT